ACAATTGGACATTTTTGTCATTCTCAAGAGGATCCACCTCAAGATTGTTCAGTTCAGGTCCTTCATTTCAATTATTGGATGCCGGTGCCCATATTTACGATTTCGAATTATATCTGCCCGGTAATCTGCCCGAAACTATAACTGCTGATCGTGGTAGAGTCTCCTATAAAATTGTTGCACGTGCTGTACGTGCAGGATTACAAACAAATCTTAATGTGTCACAGCGTGTGACAATAATACGAACAATATTTGATGAAAGAAATGGGGAAGGAATAGTCTATTCAAACGATTGGAGAAAAACTTTAGGTTATGAAATAAATTTGTCAAAGAAAGCATACATGCTTGGCGAATCAATGCGAGTTGATTTAAAATTTAGTCCTCTTATTCGAGATGTACAAATTATTGCCATCCAGTTAAAAATTTATGAAGAATCTACTTATAAATCTAATGGTCAAAAAGTTACTGAATCCCAAACTTTTGACGCATTTCATTGTCGATTTGATGATCCCGCTATCTCCAAATCTGTTGGTGAAGATGGAAATATTTATTGTCACATCGCGCCTCGAATGCCAGAATGCACCGGTCCGATTCATTATTCATGTAAATCTTCTGGAATAACCATAACGCATAAACTAAGATTTCTTTTCACGGTAACGACTCCAGTTGCTGATAGCTCTAAGGGCAAAAGGAATAAATTTGAAGTCAATATGCCAGTTACTATACTTTCATGTATATGTGCCGATGATTTACCAACGTATGATGAAGGTGAATTCATTAACGGGTCATTGCTTCAATATGGCAATGATTTAGTAACTTTTACGGCCATCCGATCTCAGCAAGATTTATTTTTGAGAGACCTACCGCCAGACTATGAAAATCTATTGAAATGAGGCTCAGTCTTATTCTAGACCATTTAGTAGTAGTTTATCTTAAGCCTATATTAATTTTAATTATGTTATTTTTATGTATAAAAGAACTCCTATCAAAAAAATTAATAATTATAACAATAATTATAAGTGCAACGTATCACTATATTTTATCTATATCTGTATATATAGATATCAAAATTTCATTTTACATATTGTTAACTTTATATGCGCTTGTATAAATGTATTAAACCAATTGTGACAAATTTTGTTCATATTAATAAAAAAAAAATAGGGAATTAATTTTTATACTATAAAATCTATATTAAATTTATTCCTAGAGGTGTAGATTTAAAACCGAGTTACGTCAGAATGAAATTTGAATCTGAGATACGTCAAACCAAGATTATCTATATACGACAGGTGAAACCCGCGTTGCTAAATAGTAAAATCCGCTATGATCATCACGTGAGGATGAAATCCGCTTTTATATAACAGATAATAAAAAACATACGTAATTAACCGCGAATTTCACCCTAACCTGATCTACGTAGCGGATTTTACTAGCTAGCAACGCGGGTTTCACCCTGTTCTATTATTATTACATATCGCGTAAATGATGATTTTTTACATGTTTTAAAACATCGTCACTGATATTGATTAATAATAATGATATGGTTGCGATCATGATTATAAATTCGAATCCTCCGACTTTTGATTTTTGTAACACAAACTGATGGCATATTTCGATTAAGAAATAAAAAATTCATGGCGACACTGAAGTTGAAATTAACCA